GACAGTGTTATGCTAGGGCAATTTGTCACTTTGATAAAAGTGAGAAGTTTATCTACGATTAAATGGATATCCCATTCCTTTGGGGCTAAAGTTTTCATTGTTGAGTGTGTTTCTTGTGACATAAATAACTGCAATATTTTAGATTGTAATTTTTTAATAAGGCAGTCAGTCTTCACCCCTCTCGCCTGCCATGGGGTGCAAAGGTACTACAGGGCTCATGGTTGGGAAGGTTGTTAAAAGTAAGTGCTCTACTTATTGTGCTAGGCACCACTGCTGTGTAGACTGTGAGCAGAAGCACATTAAGTTAGCTGATGAAGCTAAATCAGGATGTGTTGAAAACCTCACCATAGATAGATGAAGCACAAAAAAGTATGAAAAGTTAGAAATGCAATAAGCTCATAAAACCTGTTCGTGGAAAAGTACAAGCCACAGCTGGAGGAGAGACAAGGAATGATGGAAATTCAGGAAACAGAGAGTCAATGAAATAGGGCAATTTGGAAAGCAGAAACCCTAGGGAGCGATTTATGGGGTGAGACCGGATGGGTGTGCAATGCGATATGACAGCAAAATATGCAAGTGAGTTCAACTCTTACAGCTGAAGAGCCTTACCCTACACCCTGTGTTATGTGGTCAGCAAACTACATCTGTTTACTGAGCACCTATTGTGTGGCGGGTGCTTACCACATGCTAATGTCATTCTCCAAAATCCACAGTGCCTGAAGATGGGTACTGTGATCCCTGTATCCTGCAAAGAAACTGAAACATGGAAAGGCTGAGTAGCTTGCCAGGATCACAGATAGAAGGCAGTAAATTGAAATTTAATCCAATAACTAAACAGATTCTCAATCTCATCTCTATTTTGTACCTGGCCATACTCTTTTGGTAAAGACAGGAGGGGAGGGCACCTCACTGTCCATTCTGCCAGGAACACTGCACTGACCTCTCACTGTTTGATGGTGTCAGGTGCATGCAGGCCAGGAGACAGAACCTAGTCCCAGTTCCTGCATCAATTCTTTCTAGCTGTGTGGCTGTAAGAGGATCACGTATTCTCTCTGTGCCAATTACAACATGAGGAAAATTACGTTGTCCACACTGGAATTTGTGACAACTAAATGATCACGATATTTGGCTCTGGGGAATTGTCTCGCTCACTAAATACATGGCACGCTACTAGTTTTGTGAGCCAGCCTCCAAAGTGCTGGTAGTTTCACTGTTTTGAATTCACTAACGTATCATGACCAGCCAATTTAATCTCTTGCATTTGGAGTCTGTGTAATATAAAACCGGGCTTAGCAGGAAGATGATTGGAATATTATTAGGAATGAATTGTTGGACTGCAATGAGTGACTGGGTTGTATTCAATGGGTTATAGCATCCTCAGGATTCACAAAACTTTTTCAAATTTTTATTTTGCAACAAGTAAGCATCTGTAGTCTAAGAAATTTATCACATTATTATTATTATTATTATTATTATTATTATTATTTCAGTATTAGAGATTGAGCTACTTCCCAAGTCTTTTTTAGTTTTTATTTTGAGACAGCTTCTCATTAAGTCATTAAATTACCCAGGCTGGGCTCAAATTTGTGATCCTCCTGCTTCAGCCTGCCAGAGTGCTGGGATCATGTGTGTGCATCACCACAGCCAGCCAGTCCAAGAAAATTTAGTTCTAAATGTAACAAGGAATGACAGTTCGGGAACTCATCTGTGTTGGTGACTTTCCTCTCATTGCTGAAACAAAATACCAAAAGTCTATTGAGCTCACAGTTTGTAGAGGTTTTAGTTCATAACCGGCTAACTCCAAGGCTAGGGAGAGGCAGTTCGTGGCAGGCTGAAGGTAGCAAATCCACAAGTGAAAACCACAGCTGTGTCTAGTTCTTATATTTTGTCTAGGCTACTTAAGGTAAGAAGCACTCACACCCTTAATCCTAGCGCCCTTGCATGCAGCATTGTGCCATGAATCAGTCTTTGGATTCAGTCACCTGTGAAAATGTCCCATCTATGACTGCCTAAGGCTTTGGGGGGACATACTGAAGCAAGCCATAACATTTTGCCCTGGACCCCAAAGACTCATGGACTTTTCTGTATGTGAAAGGAAATTACTCTAGCTCTAGGAGTTGCCAAAGTCTTAACAGTTTCAGCGTTGCTGAAAAGCTTAAATCTAAAATCTCCTCTGAGATTTAAGACAAACTCTTAGCTGTGAGCTCCTGTACAAATGAAAAGAAAGTTAAGCACTTTTAACATTTAACAGCACAAGATAGACATTTTTATTTTAAAAGTTACAAACAGAGAAATGGCAAAAAGAGGGGCTAAAGCAAAACCAACCTCTAGTAGGGCAACATTAAACCCTGTAATTTCACTTCTAACATCCCTGGAAATCTGTGGCAAGCTGTGAACTCTGAAGGGTTTGAGTGGCTCCATCCCGCGGCCTGCGGGCAGCTGTAGCTCTCATGGCTTCTCTCTGGGGCTGGCTCTGCTCCCTCCTTGCAGCTTTACTCAGACGATCCACATTCTTCGCTTCTCTGGACTTCTGGGGTCTCCACTGCACTTTTGGCTTCCCACCCTCAGCTTCATGCATTGCCCTCTCAGGAACACATGGCCTGGCCTCCCAGGCTTCTTCCTGAAAACTGGGCGGGAGCTGTCTTGCATTTTACATTTACCTAAAGCCAACACCACAAGGTTTGCCTCCCACTGAAATAGTAGCCAGGATGTTTTGTTTTCTTTTGTTTGGCTCTAAGAATTGAGTGCCTGAGAACAAATTTTGAGGAATCATTTTTAAGGCTACCACCTCCATTCTGGATCATGGTGTTCTGGGGCTCTCTTTTTAAAGTAAAGACCTCTGTAACGCTGAGGCTGTAATGACTGGAGTCTTATTGGTTCTTATGATGTCTTCAGGCCATTTTTTAGGCAATGAAGATCTCTTCTTCTCTTTCAGTCCATAACTTTATGGAGCTTTTTTGCTGACCAAACTCACAATGTTTTAAGTCATTTTTCTGGGATCTTTGTTCTTGATTCTTAACATAAATCTGGCTTAAACGCCCTCTACAGTAGCCATGCCACCTCCTCAACATTAGACTGCCTGAAATTATTTTGCAGGATTAATTAGTCTGCCATCCTTAATTTCAGTCTCAGTTAAATCTCTGGTAATGAGTAAAATGCAGACAAACTTTTTCTAAGGCATAACACACATCATCTGGAGTCTTTAACACTCAGTGCAGTTCTGTTTCTCAGCAAAAACCTCCTGAGCCTAGTCTTTACTGGCAGAATTTTTATGACCATTTTGGTTTTCTGACTCTGACCAGAATCTCCCATCAGGTACAGCCTCATGTGTTCCAACTTTACTTTTTTACCTGACATCTCTACATTTTTCCTAACTCTTCCCCTTCCCCCAAGGCAGCTCCAAAGGCTCCTAAATGAAACAGTTACATAGAGTCACAGCAATGACCCTACCAAATTCTGTCTTACCTTTCTCACAAAATATCTCACACCCAAAGTTAAAGGAGTTAAAGGAGGGAAGGTTTGTGTAGCTCACAGTTTGTAAAGGTTTCAGTCCATACTCAGCTACCTCTAAGGCAGGGTGGCATCTCAGACGAGAAACAGCTCATAGAGGGCAGAAGGTAGCAACACAACTCGGGACATCTATAGCTTTTTCTGTCTCTTGTATTTTCTTTAGACTACTTAGGTGGGTAGTACTTGCATCCTTAGTCCTAGTGCCCTACAGCCTAGCATTGCACCATGAATCAGTCTCAGTATCACACACTCTCAACCCAACTACCTCTGAAAAAAGCTCCACCTACGATTGTATGAGGCTTTGGGGGGACATCTAGACATCATAACACTGTCTCAAAAGAAGAACAGTTGAGGGAAAGGAAGGAAGGTCTTCAAGGCCTAGATAAGAATATGTGTGCCATCTTCAAATGGTTGAATAAGTGGAGGGAACACGAGGATAGTGGTGAGCGACTCTTCTAGACTTCAGTTGCTAATAAAATGAAGTGACTAGATAGAGAGCATGTTTCCCATGAAGACTTCTCCAACACGAGCTGGGAATCTCACAATTCAATTCAGTTCCAAAACTAATACCTGAAGTTAGCATAGGCCTGGGAGACTGCTCCCATTTTAGCACAACATGCGTATCTGTCTTGGACACAAAATTCAGTCACTTCAGACTTGATAACAGTAGAACACATCACAAGACTTAGGAAAGTGTTATGCTTGTGATTACAGTTTTATATGACAAAGTTTACAGGTGGGAAACAGCCAAATAACAGAGACACAGACAACAAAGTATGAAGTATAGAAGCGGAAGGACACAGAATGTCTTTTGAACAGAGGCTGCCTGAACCATGTTGCTCTGGAGTTCATATGGCTGTCATTGTTTAGAGGCCAGTGATCACATCACTCATTGGTCACATGACTGAGTTGAGTATCCTGTGCTTCAATCCTCCCCATTGGCAGGGGACAAGGATGTTAAGCTCTAACCTTTGAATTAGGAGGTTTGTCCCCCCTGTGATAACTCTCTATCCTGAAACTCTGTAGTCTTCCAATCTTGTGACTTCAGTCCTCCACCTCCTTAGCATAAATTCTGGTAAGGGAGAAAAAGGCTCATTGTGAATAACAAAAGACATTTCTATCACTCAGGAAATTCCAAGGGTTTTAGGGGCTCTATGATAGGAACCTCAGACAAAGACCAAATGTACTTTTATTATACCACAGATACATTTTAACATCCTTTATGTCTCTAACATGCTGTATTTAGTGGTTCTAAAACCAATTACAAGATAAAATTCAACTCAGTAAAAGAAAATACCTCTTAACCAGAGCTCTTCTGTATTTTAAGAAGATGCCACTGAAGAACTGAGCTACCTGGACTAGGAAGGGGACTAGCTGAAATTGGATGAGCCCAGTTAGGGATGCTGAGGAGGAAATCTCCACCCTGGATGGCAGTTGCCCCACATCACCATTGTGGAGATGTGTAATATCATTGCCTTCCTTGATTTCAGAGTCGCGAGATGCTACCATTTTGGATGAATAGTACTGGCAAGAGAGAAGGCTGGCAGCGTGGATGGCATGGATATGACAACGAGCTCATGGATATGAGGGGCATCTTCCTGGCCTTTGGACCTGGTAGGGAAAGAAATGACCAAATACCCTTAGTTATTCCCAAGAAAGTATCTTTAATAGGGGACTAATTACCCTAGTAAAGACCAGAGTGATGTCTTTATGGATCCTCTTTATGAGCCAAGTTGAGAAAACCCAGCCGCTTTCCATGAAACATCTTTTGCTGGCTTCCTTTCAAATGCTTCTTGGGTTTGGCAATTGTGGCCAAATACTTTTCCTTGTAAATTTTAAATCCTGAGTGCAGTGAAGAAAATGTATTCCACATGTTTGTGATTCATTTCTTACTTAATTCATCAAAATGTTATTTCACAGCTATCTGATATCCAGGAAAGCTTATCAGACACCATGTTGCTGACAGCTGTGAGTCTCAAAGTTGATATGATGGCTTCCAAGGGTTGACTCTTGCATAGTTTCTCCCAGTCTAGAGCACCCATCCCTGTGGGTTTATTTGGTTTAGAGCCCAACCAGAAGCCAGGATGTCCTTAAGGGCAGGCTCTGAAATGACCTTGAGATTGACTTTGAGAATGAGCCAGAATGGCTAGGGATATCTTGGATTTGCTGCACCTTACTAGATCAGATATATTCTAAATGACTAGGAGGAAAGGGGGAAAGAGAGAGTCTATTTGATCATTTGATTTAATTGAAAGAGCACTAAACTTTATATTAGAGTTTACTGAATACTTTACAGATCCTACTACCACCTGAATACTCCATTCTTTGTAAAAATGTAATGGAGGGGAGAATGATTCAATAGTTATAAACCATCATTAGACTAATTTATGAGTTACTCTTCATTTTTACTACCGATCACCCTTTTATTAAATATAATTATCCTACTATCTGTACTAAAAATGTCTTTTTCTGGATGTTGTTAAAGATGTTCTAAGAAAGTCCATGATTTTCTTTCAAATTATAGAATAGGCATCTACTCATAGACTCTGCTCTTCTCTTCAGTAAGACGAGATCAAAGATATGGCAACTCACTCTCTTGTTTGGTTTTGGTCACTCTACTTACCACAAGGTAGCTATTAAGAACCATGAGGTGTCAGTTTCTGCAACCTCCATAGATGTTTTGGGGAGTCCAAAACACATTGGTCCAAATCTTTTCCCACATGTGATCCTAGTTCTCAAGTTCTGAAGTGAGAATCAGAACCAGTAACAGCAAATGTTTATGGAGCACTAACTGGGTTCCTGGCATTGGCCTCAGAAGATGTCTGAGCTGGCTGTCACTGACTAACAAAAGTTATCAACAGCTTCATGTCAGCCAAGTCCTCAATCAGCATGCTACTCTCCAAAGCTGGAGAAATCAGGAATGTCTTGAAAACTATGTTAAAGTCAACTAGAGGTTAAGTAGAAGGCATTCCAGAATCATGGAATGAGAGAATATCACTAAGCAGAGTTCTCAGTCAAAAGCATCACCTCCTGTATCCCCAGAAAAGTGAGATCATAAATGCAAAATAATTGCTGATTGAAAGGGTGCATATGAGCAAGATTCTCAGGAATATTTTATAGCAGATCCAAATCAAGTCCCAAACTGAAACTGTTGAGCAAAGTGTACACGCAGTATTAACTTAATTCACTGGGGAGATTTTGTCCACTAATAGAGGGCTTCATCATATGCCCCTTTAACACTAAAAGCCCTCAGTTCTTTACAGACAGAAAGGCGATCCCTGATGAAAATGGACTGTGCTAATTGCAAAATGCTCCCAGGCAGATACAGTCTTGAGAGCCTCCCACAAACTATTGCATTTCTGCCTCCAATTCTCATGAAAGATTAAACAGCTTTACATACTGTTTACTCAGAAGAAAATTTAAGAGCAAGGCCTTCAATAGCTATCTTGCTGTGCTTGGAGATAAAGGTGCACCTTGCTGATTAATTGTCTGTGGTTCTGGCTTAGGGAGGAAGCTGGGCATCATTGCAGCTGCCCAGATACCAGCCTTGGAAATCAGCAAGTCTGGTCGGGCAAGGAGAAAGGGAAATAATTCTGGAGATAGCCTCTCTCCGGTTAATCCCAGTTTCTAATTTGAACAACCTAATCTTGCCCTGGAGAACTCTGCATTCAAGATAAGACAGCAGGAGTGTGATTCAGTGAGCTGCTGCGAGCTAGCAAGCCTCTCTCAGACAGCAGCCCAAGGTAGACAGGGACAGCGGGAACTTGCAGAACCTTCTCTGTTTAGGAGACATATGTTTAACAGCCTAAAAAATTTAGACCCTGAGAATAGCCCATAGGATTCCTAATCTAGGTTCAAAATGCTATCTTGAACTACAGAGCTTAATGGATCCTCCCAAATTGGACTAGGCATTGTCAATTCAGGAATTTTCTAGAAGCTTTTATTTCAAACTCAGTCGTCTCTACATTGGGCCAAAGTTCCACCTTGAGAGAATAAGAGCTCATAAATTAGATAGGAGGGGGAAAATAATTATTTTTCCTGTTTATGTGCATAAGATTGGCTTTTGTTCTTTCAAGACAGAAAATAGAAAATCTCTAATGATTTTGTCAAAAGACTTTGATCTCAATTTTACCTGTAAAAAGTTAGATATGATGTTTTGTTTTGTTTTGTTCGAAAGGCTGGATGAGGATGTCTCACATGCCCTATGCCCCACACATGTGATGGACTGTGAGACTGTCGTATCCATGTCATGTGACAAATCAAGAAGAGAGAGAAGAACTGCTTCCATGTCACTGGGACAAACTTTCCATTGATTTCTCAGGCTGCAGCAGATTCTTCTGGTGGGGAAGTGTAACCACCATCCTCATCTAATTGTGTAACTTGCTTTGATGTGAAGAGGGGCTGACCCTGTATTTCTCCCCTCCTGGAAGGATTGAGGGTTTTTAAACTAGTTTGTGTTCTGTAATGATGCTCAGCCTTATCTTTCCTGCTCCAAAAGAAAAATTAACTAACTACATAATTTATAAGGTAAAAAATTTTTAATCTGAAGTTTTTCCTCACTGATACTTATAATACATGTTTATCATAATAATGATTGTAATTTATTGAGCATAACAAGTGTGTCTGAAACTATGACTTAGGTACCATTACCCCTCCCCATTTCCTGTAGAACCAGTGTGCCTTTTTACAATTGAATTCAAATTTTAATTCCCTAAAGTGAGCAAAATCCATTACTTGGGAAGTTATCCCAGATCTAAAATGGTTATAGGACAGAGTTTTCTGCATTTAACATTTTTTCATATTTTAATTCCAGAAGCAGGATTTAACATTGTTATTTTTGAACTGTGTTATTGCTACTGTTTGATTAGCTTTTAGATAAAGTATGTGTGACCATTTTTGCAAAGCAATTATATAAATTATTTTCCAAGATAGAAAATTGGCTTCACAACTACAAACTACCCATTTCCTTTAAAAGTCTTAGATAAACTAGAGACACTGATCTTTATTGATACCCTAAAAATCTACCCCTGAATTCAAGCTTAATGTTGCCTTTGGGTATTTTTTTGGACATTTTGTGGGGAGTCTAAAAGCAAAGTTGTTTATGCATCTTTCTCTGTTATCATGTTCAGTCCTTAAGTGGACAAGTGGTTTGTATTCAGCATCTGAATTGCTTCTATAGTGGAGGAGATTCACTGGATGAAGAGCCCTCCAATGCCCTCCAGAGGCACCTTCAGCACTCCCTGATGACTGTGCTATGAATGGCTAGTTGTACCCTTTATAATCCTTGAATCTTTATATTAGTGCTTCAGTTTGAGGTAGGCTTGGGTTAGAGGCACCATGTTCTTCTTTAGACCTAAAGGAGCCTTCCCGTGAGTCCCTTGCTACAATGTCAGTTTGCTCATTTTCCTCCTAGCTGTCATTTCATGTGTCCCCAAAAGGCTCCTAAGAAGTGCTCAAGTGATCTTCCAAACATATTTAGAAAACCATTGCCATTGCTATTGAGTGATCAGCACCAAATGCATTATACTGCTTCACATTTCCTCAAGACCTGTGCCCTCAATCCTGGCTAGACAGATGTTTCAGAAGATGAGCATGCCACTTCAGTAGAGTCCTGTAAGATAGTCAGCCTTCTCTGACCACACTGGCTCTTCAATGCCCTGTAGAAATGGAACAGCTTCGGTTTGTCTTTCTGTCCCAGTAGAAATGCTACGTCACAAAGAGTCCAATTAGACACAAAGAAAGTGTGTTTGCGTGCTTGTCTTGTTGAGAGACTTGTCTCTGGATGAGTCATGCTCATGGAGAAAGCTGATTGACACAGCTGATGTTTTAATCCCAAAGTTGCCTGGAACTGAGCATGATTCCTCTACACTGTGACTCAGCCTCTCTGTACCTGGGGATCGGCCCTGACAGCTTGTTTTGTTTGCCCTTCCTTTTCAGATTTCAAACCCAACTTCAGAGCGGCTCCGATTAGATCTGTGGATGTCTACAACATCATGTGCAACGTGGCAGGCATCACCCCACTACCCAACAACGGGTCCTGGTCCCGGGTGGTGTGCATGCTGAGGAGCCAGGCCAGTTTGGCCGCCTCTGCACAGAGGCCCAGCTATGCACTGGCCTTGATTTTCCTCTTACTGTTTGCATAGTTGATCACGTGTATTGCTTGTCCCAAAACATTGTCAACCAAGTGTGCCTCCAAAGTGGAATGATTTTCATTTTCTATGTGAATAATAGCTTCATTAACACAGTCAGGGCCATATAATCCATACACATATTATTTTTGGATGATTCTGTGCCTAAAACTCCCTCGTTTTTGAAAGCACCCAAACTTTATTTTTCCTGAAAATAGGAAAATCTTAGCCTGTCATTCTTTTAGCTCTCTGTGTTACTCTCCTTTCTCTTTAGATAGTTGCTCCAGATTAGCTAGCTAATCTGCCCCACAGGAACCACACCTCAAGGGGATATTCTGTGGTCATCCCTCCCTGTCTGACTGTAGCCAAAGGAAGCCCTCAGACCAGGCCCTTGTCTTCCCTGTCCACACTCAAGAGCCATCTCTAGCGGTTTGTGGCCACAATCTTCTACTGTTGCTTCCATTCTAAATGAACAGTCTACAGGAAAGCAATAGCTTCTGTTGGTTTTTAATCCTGCCCCTGGAGTTTTTGCATCTTATACAAATTGCCAGAAAGAACATAACCTAAGTCGGGATCACCAATCAACCAATTAAAAAATCACTGAGGACAGAAGAACTCATAAAACAAAGTAAAAGACATCAATCCCCCCTGACTTGTGAGTACACAATAATTTCTCTCTTGCCTTGAAAGCAGAAAAGCTAAGAATAGATATAGACTTCTGTGAGATTTATTGCCAGCATATCATTATATGAAACCTACAAACAATAAGCCTTGAACATTAATGAAGTGACAGTCAGAGTGCCTACCTGGCTGCCTCTATTGTGTGGTGGTTTCCTTAGACATTGGCACTCTGTTTCCAAATTTGGAGAGTCACCACAGTAACACCTGGCATGTCAGTACAGGCTGGGGAAGGGATGGATATTGAACCAATGAGGATATGACCAGGGCACAGAAATACTAGTTCATTGCTGGACAGACACTATATTAAGCATAAGTGCTATCGTTCAGTAGTCCTGAATCAGAGCTTAGCTGACAGATCTGAAGGCAATCCTTGAGTGATATAGAATTCCATAGAAAATAGTGGGGAAGATGGAGGAAGGAATAGAGAGAGAATGGCAGAACTGAATCCCAGTCACTGACCAAGTCATCACAGGATTAGGAAACAAGTGTCAAAGTGGTGGTCACCGGAAACCTCCAAGAAGAGTCACTGAGCCTGAGCTGATATAGTTTTAATTTACTCTTCTAAGTTGCTATAGGAGACTTTTTAAGAAAGATTCTTAAATGATCGGACTCTTGTCTATGTATGCACAGTCCCTGACTGATGATGGTTTAACTCTTGGTTTGATTTCATGAAAATGCAAAAGCAATGCCTACTCAGTTGAAATCTTCTTTTCAATTTTAAACTTGTGATAAGCTAGATGCATGCAGTCTGTCACTTGTCTCTGTGTCTCAGAAAGCCACACAATCATGGAGAGACAACTAATATAGTGTCCTGTGTAGCTATGTGATCAGGTTTAATAGGTTTGGTGTATTAAGTGCATTTTCCACTTATATGATGATGATGTCTTCAACTTACAAGGTTTTTGTTTTTTGGTTTTTTTTTATCGGTACTGGGGATTGAACTCACGACCGCCTGCTTGCAAGGCTGGTGCTTATGCCACTGAGCTAAATCCCCAGCCCCTACTAGGGAGTTTATTGAAACTACATACCCTCATCATAAGTCATGGAGCATTTGTATATATATATGAATTCTATTATTATATTCAAAATGTGCCTAACTAGATGAAGCCCATCTGCATGTGAGACTTTGTCAGGATGAGACAGCACATGAGATCTTAGGAGATCAATACATGAGGAAAAGGAACCCTTACATCAACATGCACCTTAACTCAGACAGGCTGAGAGCCATCTACAAGCCGTGAATCGTGAGACCAAAGGATCACTTCTTAAAAATATTGACTTCATCTTCACAAAAGATTTCTAAGGGTTTATGTAATATATTTTTGAAGCTCCAGTAAACATTGAATCAATTGAAAAGGAGGCAAATCAGTCTTTGTTGTGTGGTTGAAAGCAAATTAGTACTTTCAGAACACTGGCACTGGTTTTTGAAACAGACGTCTATTGTTCAAAGTTTTCTTTCCCCTTAATGGATGTGTTTTGTTGAATTAAGTGGAGCCCACTTCCTCCTTCTTGAAGGAAGGAACTCTAAGACGTCCCTAAGCAATTAAGTTAAAAGTGAATCATCAAAATCAAGAGGGGATAAACACATACATGGTCAAGTTATGTAACAAAATTCTAGATATTTGGTTGAAAAAATATAGTTTCTTAGTAAGTACTGTTAAATAAGTGAATGAGAATAAGACTGCAGTGAAAAATCAGACTCTGAATGGAAAAAAAATCTTTTTGTCTAAAATAATGCATGTATTTCAGTGGCTTAATTGATCAAAATTTGTTGTCTTTTAGTTTTGTTTTAAATTTGCATTATTTCCCTAGGTAAATTCCATTTTGCCTAAATGTGTTATGTTCTACAGGAGTAAAATGTACCAGGAATATATATTAGGCTCCTTTCTTCTGGATTATTTTACAACATCACTGCTAATTCCAAGAGGAAGATAATTAGGTGGACTTACCAATAAGAAATAAAAAGAATGATCCTTAAGTAAAAGATGAATTGAAGATCTACTTTCCCTGCCCATGAGCCTAATTTCCAGAATCCAATTCAAATAAATTCTGTAAACTAGAACATGTTAAGGACATTTTTTCTAACCCGGAAGGGTCCCGCATTTTTAACATCTAACTCTCTTTACTTTTAAAGTGATCTGAGAAATCCACATCAGATCTTAATTCAGTTATAGATAGTACTTTGCAAGTTTTCTGGGCGTTTAAGCATTGTCTGACTCACTTTCAGAGATGCCAACTCACAGGATCTGTGATAGGGCCTCACACAGCGTCTTTATGTCACATTGATCTAAGCTTTAGGTTTGCTTTAGGGAGAGGTATGTTCTGACTTGATTTGGGGAATCTAAGTCCCCTGGGAGCTATTTCTTAATCAGTCAGCATCTCTGGGGGCCACTAGGCTGACACTGGCTGTTAACCCCACTGGGTGAGGCTTCCAGCCTTCAAAAACAAAGCAGATCCGTAAGTCCCACTGGGTGGAGGGAGCTCATCTCACCCACCCCTCATGGCTCTAAGATTCTCGAAGGTACTATCAGACAAACGAAGACATTTGTTCAAGACACAGAGCTATTTTGAACTTTCTAATGAAATGTGAAAATTTGTGTAAATAGCAAGAGATTTGCAAAAGTGATTGTGTGTTTTATCTTTTTAAGCCATTTGCAATAGACCAAAGTCAGCTACTGTAAACCACTTGCTAGAAGAAAAAGAGAAGGTAGCTTTGACAGATTGATTATAAAACATTGGTCTCAGGTATATATGGAAATACATGTTGCGTTGAAATTATAAAATAGCACCTAATACAGTGCCTTAAGTGTTTAATAAATGTCCCATAAATATGTGTTGAAAGAAATAAAGAATAAAAATCATTAGAGCGATTTGCTTAAACTTCAGTTTTTGTCTTTGTCTGCAGTTCCTCTAAATTACGAATTTTCCACTTTTGGCTGCTATCGTTTCTTATTACCTAACTGAGCTAACTCATGTACTAAACACGTTCTATCCCAGCCTTAAAAATTAGACTGCAGGAGAGAGAGGGGAGGGGGAAAAGGAAAGAAGGAAGGAAGGAAGGAAAGAAGGCAGGCAGGCTGGCTGGCTCTTATTTTAAATATATTAAGAACATTATCTTTTAAAAATGTAATAGTTTATTGAGATTGAATTCACACACCGTATAATTCTTCCAATACGTACCATTCGATGCTTTTAGTGTATGCATAGAATCGTGCATCCATTCCACAGCCACTATCAGAATCTTTTTATCACCCCAACTGCATACCTACTAGTGCATCACCAGCCTCTCTGCAAACCTTTTTCTAGGTAACCACCAAGCTACTTTCTCTGTTGGCAGATGTGCCTATTCTTGATATTTCATCACAATGAAGTTTTGTCCTTTGTGGATGGCTTTTTTCATTTGCATAAGGCTTTCAAAGATACAACCTGAACCAGTGTATAACTCCTTGTTTAAAAAATAAATAAATACTATTTCATATAGATGAATATTTTATTTCTCCATTCATCCATTGATGAAAATTTTGTTTTTCTTATTTTTTAGATATTATGAATGATGTTGCTCTGAAGAGTTTTGTAGACAGGCTCTCATTTCTGCTGGGAATACACTGGCTAGTAGAACTGTGGTCTCATAGAGTAACTTTATATTAAATGTTTGAAGAACTACTATTTTCCAAATTGGTTTCCTTGTTTCCATTCCCACCAACAGTGTATGAGGGTTCCAGTGCCTCTGCATCCGTGTCAATCCCTGTTTCTGTCTGCATTCCTGTATCACTGCCCTCACAGTGACTTTGTGAGGGGCCATTTCCCTGTGGTTTTGTGTTACCCTCATGACAAATCATAGTAAGTATTTTTAGGTGTCTATTGACATATGTAATGGAGAACTATCCACTCAAATCTTTAGCCTACTTTAAAATTTTTCATTTGTATTTCTTTTTTATTGATACACATTTCTATGCCTAGCTTTTGTTGAAGTGTTTATCTTTTTCTTATTGAGCTGTAAGCATATTTGCACATTCTGTATGCCAGTCCCTTAGCATATAAATAATTTAAACTATTTTTCCCATTTTGTAGGCTTTCTTTTTACTTTCTTGATGCCATTCTTTGAGGTCAAAAATTTTTTTTTAATTTTTTGAAGTCCTGCTTATTTCTCTTTTCCTTTGATTAGCGTGCTTTTTCTGGTTTTATTCTTTCTTTCTTTCTTTCTTTTGTCACATCTAATCCAAGATCGTGAAGATTTCCTCTCTAGTTCTCCTGAAGGTATTTAATTTTAACTCACATTCATGATCTATTTTGAATTAACCTTTGCTGTATGTTGTAAGAGGGGACAAACTTTCATTTGTTTTTATTTGGATATGTAGTTCTCCCAGTGTTGTTGAAAAGCATATCTACTTTCTAAAGAAATGTTAAAATGATTCCATTCAACAGCAACTTTTTGTTTGTTCATTTCTTTGTTCTGAGACAGGGTGTCACTATGCAGCTCAGGCTGGCCTTTAACTCAGTATGTGGTCTAGGCTGGCCTCAAACCCATGGTGATCCTCCTGCCTCAGCCTCTCCAGTGTTGGGACTGCAGGCACGTGCGATCTCACCAGCTGAAATACTTACTTTTTAAAAGGCCCAAGTCAGTACAGCAAGTTGAATTTTTGTACTTCTGATTACAAAGCACTGGTTGTACAGCTCTTAAATACATGTTCTATCAATGCGAGAAGAAACATCTCCAATCGATGGTAGGCTACAATGCTGCTCTTAAAAACAGCTCACACTCACTGGCAGTATCTACAGACTATTATAGTGAAGGATCCTGAGCCATTTTCACTGTGCCTGTATCAGAAGCCCCATTTCAACCACGAACCCTGGGTCAGACAGTCTCCATCCAACTTTACCATCACATTCAAATCTGGTCACAGCTAGAGGACTCTCTGACTTCAAGGAAGAAAGCAGCAATGGCCCTGAATGCTGCTTCTCACCTGCACCCTTGGCAGAAGCTCTCCCAATGCAATAAGACACACACACACACACACACACACACACACACACACACACACACACAGAGAGAGTTCTTGGAGTTCTGTGAGACCCCAGCTCAGCCTCCTCTCTTCTACATAAAGGAGTTTCTAAAACAAGTCAGATCAGGACATTCCTGCTCTAAAATTCCTACTGTCTCCTGTGCACACACTTAGCATTGTACCAGGCTGGCTTGAATCTATCGTCTGCTCGATGAATGAATGACTATGCAACTTATGCGTATTTTACTGTACTGACCTCCCACTTTATTGGCTCGCCATGTCACCCCATTTCCAAATGAGAAAGTCCTTGCCTTACTATTTTAATCTAGTCTTCAGCTTTTTCCTCTAATTCCATTTTTTCCTAATTACTTCACTTTTATTTCCCTTTCGTACTGAGAAATATTGTACCCTACAATTATCTTTATTTCTATTTTGTTATATTCATAAAAATTTATTTTGCATGCTAAATACATTTTGCTTCCCTGTACATTAGATTATAACTTCCTTGGAAGCAGAAAAGTTGCTTGCTTGCCTTTCTTTCTTTTTCTTTCTTTCTTTCTTTCTTTCACTTCTCTCTTTTTCTCTGCTCTGTCTCTCTCTTCTGCTTCCTTTTTTAAAATGTTAGAGTTTGAAAGACCTTAGTAATTGACACACCTGCACCCTGAATCATTCCAAATCTCCTAGAGATACATATAGGGAGAGCAAAATGGCACCCTTGTTTTAGAAAGGTGATAGATGTTAGTAAAATATGGTTTAGAATGCCACATCACTGAGTTAGACACACTAGCCATGAAGTCTTTGCACCTATAAGAGTCAGAGGATGGAGGAGCAGAAGGAGAGGAAGAGGCTCGTTCCACGTTCATCAACCAGGTAAACCACTTCTTCCCTGGGAGACACGAGTGCGAAGGCAGAGTTGGAACTATAGCTAATATCCCTGCGGATGAAGATGGAGCATCTTTAGCCCTGCAGTATGACCTTAGTGTGTATTTTTGACGTTGAGGAATAGAGGATAGAAGAAGATCAAGAAGCAGCTTCTGTCACTGGGAGACATGCTGTGAGGAGACCAGCAGGAAAACTGAGAGACGTGGAAAGGGCTAACAGTTTACTCTGAAGAGCAACAGTGAGGCCACAATGCTCAGGGGCAGTGGCACAGGCAAGTGTTCCAGTTGGGCACATGGGATCACCAGGGGTCTGGATCCAATTGATGAAATGCATGCTTTATTTCTGCATTCACTCTGAGTGCCCACTTCTCATCCCAAACTAATTCAAAGTAGGTAGAGTGAAGCATCCTGGTGAGACACACCAAACACACCTTGACTCCTCAACGTAGACTTTTGGTAATATGTGTACGGTGACCACATATATTACTTTACCATGAGTCCTGAACTGGAATGCACTGACCATTTTCAACTCTTAGAACTAAAAATAATTTAAAATGGTTTATAATTGAATGTAAATGTTATATAGGTTAATATAAAATACTATGAAACTTATATTATCTTGGGGTGTTTGAGAATCTAGCTATCTTGTTTGTGGTTTCCAGATACGTAGAATCCCAGGACAGGAATCGTTTAAAGGCAGAAGAGGTGTGTGTTCACAGCATAAGCAGGAAACACCAGCCAATAGTACACTGAGGGTGCTAGATGCAATGATTGCTTGTTATGGAATACTGAACTTCACCCGTACAGTAACCTGTGTCAAAATCCTAATAGATACAGTGGCGTGACAGTTGAAAAACTGAATGGGAGCTTTTATTGCCACCCTAACACTAATGATGATGCTTGTAATTTGTGAATAGGGAGCAAGATCTTCAAGAATCCGTGTTTAATTGCAAGATATATCACTAAGTGAAGAGCTACCAAAAGTTTTAGATCATTCTAGTTTATATAGCAGTTAGAGCAAACAACCATATTTTTGTATATTTCATTTTGCATCTGCATTTTTATCTTCCATTTCTGGAGGACAGCACAAGCTTCCTGGGTCGGGGACAGCTTTTTTTCTCAGTGCCATCTGGGATCCTGTTGGTGTGGCCTGACTTGAAGAGGTGTCAGGTGTCGTGGGCTTCCCCACTTAGAGGGCATTTGTTACATTTCAGTAATGTGCAGATTGGTGGGGTTAGGAAGGGCGGGGGGGGGGGACACAAGTTATTTAGAATCTAAGGATGAAAATAAAAGGCAAGAGGCAGGAGGGAAGCCAAATGGTGTATTGAACCAGAAGGCATACAAGGTATGTTGGAGGCAAAGGGTCACAGCTGGAGAATCCAGAAAGAAGAAGCACAAAGACACAGCAGTTTGGAGTTTCCTGCTGAATGCTGAATACCTTTTAGGTTTCTTTTCTGTACCACCCAGTAGGCTCGCTGAACCAGAAGCTCTTAACAGGCATCACTCTGGTGGTTCCAGGAGGCACCTTGGAAAGGAGCCTCACAGAGTTCACCTCACTCTGCCCTTCCTTTAGGCTGCCTGTTCCTGCTGGCTGCCCGTGCCCCGTGGTTTGTTCAAATTTAAGACACTCCAACCTGGGTTCCACACTTTTGCCAGAAACCCTTGCAAATAAGGCATGATTATATAAAATAGCATTTTCCTAATCATGCCTCTTACTTGAACTCAGGCAAAATCCTTTTAAAACTTTTGAAAATCATACGTTTGTCAGGAAAATTCACTCTATTTTTGGCAAGTTTAAAACACAAACCATTTTATTTGACCCAGAGCAGAGCTCTGGTGTGGTTTATTCACACTCACATTCATGGAATCATGTCAGGCATGTCATAGACCATCAAACGTTGGAAAAATAGACGCACATAAATTTGAGAAAACAAAACATTGACTATGTAATATGATTGCTTAAAATTCTGGAGCTGCCTCTGGGACCACCTGCACCATGTG